GGCTGTAATGCACAGCCCTATAACCACCCAAGAACACTGAAAAGTGCTGCACAATCATCATATTAATCATAAAGGTGTTATTTAGTACATGTAGGTGAATCATTTGCAGCCTATTTTGTATTATGTGTCTTTTGTATTTTGCAATTATTTATTTATGCATTTATTTATTTATTTATTTATTTTGCTAATGGTGGTTGCACTAAGCTTTTTAAATAAACAAAATCATAAGTTACAATATGTTTCTTTCAATTTGTAATGCTTAACATTTTCTATCATAGTTTCAGCTGGCCTAAAAACACAGTATAGGCATATGGAAGCGTTTAACTGCAACAAAAGCGCGTTTCAGGCGTACTTTTCTAAAATCGAAAAGTTTTGCAGATTTCTTTAATAAATCACTTCCTCAGCGCTCAGTTAAAAAGTTAAGCTTGAATAAGCCTATACCCGTCTTACTAAATCAAGGTCACAATAAAACCCGCAGGAACAAATGAGTGAAGGCAGCGTGCGCATCTGACGGAGTATTCTTTTAGCTTCCTCCAGAACACGGTGTTCCTTAAACAATATTTCATTCACATGCATGGACGCTGCAGTCAACAAGCTAAAGGGTTTTAATTACATTTGCATAAAATGTGAGCCAATTACTTTACCTTTGTCTGCACACCGGAAGGCTCAAGTAAGAGTTAACTGGAAAGTGAAGTGGGACGCGTAGTTACCAAATAGTGATCCACGCCCCCTTCTCCAGGAGCCTTGAGGGAGGAGAACCGCCCAAAAACCGCGGACCCACGGGAATTCAACACACTCCTCGCTTTAATGAGATTATACGATTATGTTCTTTGGATTTGTCATCCTTCTTCAAATATATATATTACATCAGTGGAGATTTATACCTACTCTTAATGGCAGTTTAAATTTGAGCAATGAAATTCTAAAATAATAATAATAATAATAATAATTTAAATAGAGTGCATGACCCAAAAATGTAACACTCTTAAACCTTAGGTAACTTTATGCAAGAAATGTTGTGTTACAATTAATCATTCATTACTCTCAAACTGGCATACATTTTTTAAGCTGCTCTTAGTCTATACCTAAAAAATATTTTTTTTTGTATAAATTTATGTTTTATAAAATATTTAAAACAATCAAAATATAATTATAGCTATCCTAACCTAAAAAAAAAAAAACGTTTATAATGTCCTTTTTGATGAGAACTAAAAGTAAAAAAGTTACTTTTTTTTAAAAAAAGTAAAGCAAAAAAGTGAGTAAAACCTGTTGCCTTAGAAGCGACAGGTTGACTAAAAACACAGTAAACCTAATGTAACTTGCACTGTTCAGTTGACTTAACTCAATTTTTAGAATTATACACATTTACTTAATAATTTTAGTAATTGGCTTAAAGTCAACTAATCACATTTCACAGTGAATTTAAAAGACATGACTCTCTCTCTCTCTGGGTGACGCAGTGGCACAGTAGGTAGTGCTGTCACCTCAAAGAAGGTCGCTGGTTTGAGCCTCGGCTGGGTCAGTTGGCGTTTCTGTGTGGAGTTTGCATGTTTCTCCCTGCGTTCGCATGGGTTTTCTCCGGGTGCTCTGGTTTCAACCCACAGTCCAAAGCATGCGATATAGGTTAATTGGGTAGGCTAAATTGTGTAATAATAATAATGTAGAATGTAGACCTCAAGAACAAGGGGGTAACAGAGGAATTACCCCACACAGACTTGGAAAAATGCAACCTCACCCACTGAGAATTTTTTGAACAACAAGAAACTTTAAGAATCAGACTCAACCAGCATACTCAGATATAAACAAAAAGTAACAAAGGACATTAAAAATAAGTTTTTAGTCCACAGCAGGACAGGACAAAAAAGTATTTTCTTGAGGATGGGTCTCTCATATAGACTTTCTTTAAAGGGATATTTCACCCACAAATGAAAATCTACTCACCCTCAATTAGTTTCAAAACTTTCTTAGTTTATTTCTTTTGTTAAACACAAAAAGAAGAAAAACTTAATTTTAACCATTGACATACAGGAAAAACAAATACTATGCAAGTCAATAGTTAAAGGTTTTTGTAATTTTTCAAAATAGCTTATTTTATGTTCAGCAGAATAGAGAAACTCTTAAATGATTTCTGCAAAAAAGTAGAATCAGAATGCTGGTGCAATCTTTTCTTTTCCAATTACAATTAAGGGTTTCATAAAGAAGGAACCATTTATTTAACAAACGTTTGTTAAATATAAAACACCAAAAATAAATACATAAAAAACTAAATAACTAAAATAAAACCAAATTTTCAACATTTCACATCTAATTTGTTTAAGACTTTTAATATAGCAACAGGTATTTTAAATAGTTCTTACAGTGCTCAGCATAATTGAGTACACCACATGTTGAAAATTAATATTTGTATCCATTTCTCAGTGGATATTTGCACTGTCTGTATTTTGCACTGTCTGGAGTCAGGACCAAAGCTTTTCACTCATCATAACACACGTGCTGCTGATGATGTGACAATAAAAGTGTTTTGATTTGTTTTGATATAGTCAAGGTATTTTGGTGCATTTAAACAAAACATATAACAAACAGATATATTTATTAAAATCTTATTTTAGTCACCAAACGTATTTAGAAATTAAAAGATAATGCAATTAATATCAAGCAAACTATTGCAAAGAAAAAATACAACCTACAAAATTTCAACCAAATATATATATTTTTAATTAATTTATTTATTTATTTATTTATTTTTGCTTCTCTTGATTTTTCCTCATGTTTATTTTGTATTTAATATTTTTCTATAACATATAAATTTTGGTGTACTACTTTTTGGAGTGTTATCATAAGTTTTGTTTAAAATTTTGTTAGATAAGCTCCAGATTTGGCTTTAGTTCTGACTAATCTAGTGTTCAATTCAATTCATCTTTACTTGTATAGCGCTTTTACAATGTAGATTGTTACAGCTTCACATAGAAGATTATAGAGAATTGAAACAGTGTCAGTTATTAGAGTTTAAGTTTAGTTTAGTTCAGTTTAGTTTAGTTCAACTCAGGGGTGCGTTTCCCAAACAATGACATAACTACGATACATCGTTTGGGAAATAAAACGAAGTAGTGACCAATGTTTCCTAAACCCGTAGTTTCCCTGTCGCAGATCTATTGTTTGAACCATGTTAGGTATAACATAAAACACCCATAATGGTGCTTTACACGGAGTGGTAACAACTTCTTTAGAAAAGAACATCACAATTTCTTTGTGATAATTATATTGTTTTACACAAACACGCATTTAAAATAAAATCCAATATTAGTTTTGTTAAAAACATGCACTCATTTTCCATATTAATGGAAATATATGTAAATGGCACATTTAGTGTCACGGTCGGTGAGGGGAAAAAGGAGCGAGGACTCAATTGCAACAAAATAATGGGTTTTATTAATATAAAAGTACAAATAAAACAAACTACCCCGAGGGGGAAAACACAAATAAAACAAATAAACAAACCAACTTGACTGGGCAGGCAAGGCAAGGCAAGTGCTCGACCCAAGAAAACTCGAGCCGAGCACAACAGGACAGGACTAGACATGACTAGTGTCCGGACTCTGCCACCAAAACAAGAATTTACATGACCAGAGTGGCAGAACCCTGACATTTAGGGCCAATGCTTCCTTTACAAGTATTACAGAAAATATTACATATTCTATTCTAAAATTTAAATCACTTACTAAAGCTAACATGTATTCTAATATCATATATAAATCATAAAAATAAATAAATAATGAGGCAAGTTATTAAGAAATGAAATTTAGTATTTATTAGGAAATGAAAAAAATATTTTTAATAGTAATATTAATAATATTTATTATGATTTTGATTATTATTATTATTATTATTGTTATTATTATTATTAATATTATTATTATTATTGAGTGAGATATTGTTTATTTATTTATTTATTTATTTATTTATTTATTTTTAAGAAACTTACTATAAATTAACAGCAATTACATGTTTTTTGTTTTCACAAGCTTAAAAATAAGTCACCTAAATAGATTTCGTCATGAGGCTGTGTTCAAAATGACATCAATGTTTTCAAAGTGCACTGCGGAGGGAGCACAATTGTGAACATGAAGATCGCTAAAACTGAACTGTAATAATATTTTGAAAGCAAATTACACTTCAGAGAGATGACTTTAATGCTTTTTTATTTTTAATCATTCCAAGTTTAAATGTTAGAATGGTCTAAATGAATAGGGCATAGGGGGAATAAGTGGGAATAGAACACAGCCAGAAACTGTTTCTAACTACAGCTCCAGACCAGAGGTGTAGCCTATTTGCAAGTGCACAAGTTTGCGAATGTTCGTTGGAACAATGGATTTGGGAAACGGCAAATCAACAAACTATGTTTGTAACGACGGAACTAGTTGGCTATTGATGGCTTTGGGAAACACACTTCATTTCAGTGTGTTTTAATGTTCAATGCTAAGAGTCCAAACACTGAAGACTAGCCTAATCTATTGATGCGCAGCTCCACAAGTCCTGCATTATACAAGCCAGTGGCAACAGCGGCAAGGAAAAAACTTCACCAATTGGTGAAAGTGAAGGGGGAAAAAAAACTCAAGAGAAACCAGGCTCAGTTGGTCATGGCCATTTCTCATATGGCCAAACGTCTTGTTCAGAGCTGCAGTCTAGGCGCCGGAGGCTGGAGAACGCTGGACCTTAGCGAAGACTTGTCCTTTTATTATTTATTGAACCTTTATTATTTAGATTTTGTATTAAAATATGACCCTTGTTTAATTACAGAAAGACACTTTGACATGTATTTATTTGGCACTTCATCTGACTCAGTGTCCTGAATCTTCTTAAATGCAAAGACTGACCTAATCCTCAAAAAAACAATGTTTTTCATTATTTTCAGGTCTGAACTAGTTTAAGCCCCACACCTGGAGTGTGTTATACTGCATATTTAAATGAACGTCTATATAATGAGAGGAAAACACAAGAGAGGAAAGAGGACCACACAGATTCACGCAAGAAAATAAAGAAACCTGTTCTAGTAATGGCTCAAGGGTCTAGACTATACTTTGCAGGTATCTTATCCTCAATCTAAACATTGCCTATTTTACACTTTATGGCTATCTTTCCTCTAGTCCTAAGTTTGTTCTTTTCAACTTTTGCCTGTTTCATATCTGTATTGACCTTACATTTTTTTATGCTTTTCAGTGGCTTTTTTGATGTGTGCATTTGTCTCCATCAATGGTGTGGGTCTGAATGATTTGCTGGATAGAGCTTCTCAACTTTCAGACAAGCTTCACTATCTCAGCACCTCACTCACCAATGATCTGGTCAGTAAATGCATTTGTTTACTGTCTTTCGGGTCTATCGTGACTTCCGTTTTATCCAAATTGTTGTTCATTCCATTGATTTGATAGTGTTTCTATTGTTTTTTTGACCACAGGATTCTCACTTCCCTCCTATTGGAAGGGGAATGATGCCGCGCCCATCCTTATGCCACACGTCATCTCTTCAAATCCCCAATGACAAAGACCAAGCCATGAAAGTGCCGGTAAGAGTGTACTTTATTACATATATACAGTTGAAGTCAGAATGTCAAATTAATTAATTCTGAAAGTCAGAATTATTAGCCCCCTATTTTTTCTTCTGGAGAAAGTCTTATTTGTTTTATTTCGGCTAGAATAAAAGCAGTTAATCATTTTTTAAACACCATTTTAGGGACAAAATTATTAGCCCCTTTAAGCTATGTTTTTTCTCAATAATCTACAGAACAAACCATCATTATATAATAACTTGCCTAATTACCCTAACCTGCCTAGTTAACCCTAGTTAAGCCTTTAAATGTCACTTTAAGCTGTATAGAAGTGTCTTAAAAATATCTAGTCAAATATTATTTACTGTCATCATGGCAAAGATAAAATAAATCAATTTTTAGAAATGAGTTTTTAAAAATATTATGATTAGAAATGTGCTGAAAAAATCTTCTCTCCGTAAAACAGAAATTGGTGAAAAAATAAACAAGCGGTCTAATAATTCAGAGGGGCTAATAGTTCTGACTTCAATTTTTTTATTATTAGATAATAAAAATAAAAATGTCAATAAAGTGTCAAAATAATAAAATGTCAACTATTTGTATAATAAAAAATACTTAAACAGTATTTACACTATATTCAAAAATAAAATACTAAATTAAAATATCTACACAGACAACTAATATACAAAACAAAATATTAAAACATTACAATTATAACATAATTATTTTATAAAGCTTGCAAATATGTGAAGAGTTTTTATCTAGAGAATCTAACCTGTTTAAGCAAATTTAAGCACACCTAATGTCATCATTTACTCAAGCCCTTGTTCTTTCATATCCATCATTTCCCAAACACAAGTGAAATATTGCTAAATATATCGAGAAGATTTCCATTCCTCTGTTGAAAGCCTTTTCACCCAACAGACCATGTTTCAGCAAAACTCTTTTACCAGCTATATGTATTTAAAAATGTATAAATTGTTTCTATTGAAACAACTCAGGTTTCCCAAATTATTAAAATAAAACTCTGAATCTTAATCTAACTTAATAAATCACATGAGCTCTGCATTTAAAATTATCATAAAGATCAGGTAGCCAGCTTGGTGAAAGGGGTAGTTGTTTTTTTTTCTCAAAAAGTTGACTTTTTGTATAGGCCTCATTTAGGCTTCTATTCAATATTGAGATTTAAATACTGCATTTTAGTGACATTTTAAGCACTATTTTAGTTAAAACAGATTGTCGGATGGTCATCATAACCAAGAAAGCACATTTGAAAATTCTTGGATAACAACAATAGCAAAAATAATATTCAAATTAATTTTTGATAATGGTCGCTTTTGGTGCTTCACACCTTTTCATTAGTAATTTTTTGTTCAACGGTTTAGAATAAAAGTTGCTTGTAAAATCTTTCCTTCATTTAAAAACAATACAAAAGTCAACGATGTCTTGACTTACATCAGATTGTAGGCCTATGCATTTCTTGCACAGCTGGATGTTGGATCATGAAAAATAAGTTTGCATTGGCCAAAACCCATCAGCTGAAGTCACACTGAAGTGACAGCCGACAGAGGATTTCACTTGGTCTTAAAAGCTTTTTCGATGGGTTAATTTCACTATTATGATGGCATAGATAGCAGTCAAAATAGGACAAATGAGCTTGTGTATGGAACAACGTCTAGACCTTTGTCAGTAAAGAGTGGGTCTTTCAAACCACCCCCTTGCTATGGACCTGGAAATGTGGGTACAAGTGCTGCATTTTTTAGATTGCATTCTTATGTGAAATAAAAGGTCATGTATCTAACACACCACTGTAATACTTTTGTAAATAGACTTTTCACTCATCTTGGCCTCTAAGAGGATTCAGATTGGTCCTCTTCATCTCATTTGAAGTAGGCCTGCTGAATACATTTTGAGAGTTTAACTTAATTTTTGTTTTAGGATTTTTTTAGATTTAAACTTTTAAACAAAACAAAAAACTTTTTAAAAACTAAATGTAAACAAGTTGCCTCAAAATAAAACTATGTGATAGTCTGATTAAAATCTCAGATAGAGACACTCATCTGTATATAATGACTGTTCTCTATTATAGATCAGTGGATAGAGCCTTATTTTAAATCCAAGGTGAAATTGAATAAACTCTTTAAGTGAAACAGCTCCCTCTTGTGGTCTCGTGTGGAGCGACGGGTGAAAGTATATGGCAAGTTTCTGAAGTTTGGTTTGTGCAGGAGGATGAGCTGTTGTCATTGGCTCGGTCTCTGCTGTTGGCTTGGTCTGATCCGCTCGCCCTGCTCTCCTCTGAGGCGTCCAGTCTGGCACATCCAGAACGCAACACCATTAACAGCAAGACCAAAGAGCTGCAGGACAACATCAACAGTCTGGGAGCAGGCCTGGAGCACGTCGTACACAAGGTGATGGACTGCACATTTGGAGAATAAAGTTTCTGATGTTGCAATTTGGACGAAATCTGATTGATTTCTTGATCATTTGGATTTGAGGTTGATTTATATTTTGTCCTGACCAATGTGTTCTCTTCTCTACAGATGGGCTCGTCTTCTGACAACCTGTCCACTCTCCCGTTTAATGGCAATAACCTTGGTCAGGATAAAACGTCTCGACTTGTCAATTTCCACTTCCTGCTGTCCTGCTTCCGCAGAGACTCCCACAAAATTGACAGTTTTCTCAAAGTCCTCCGCTGTCGGGCAGCCAAGAAGAGGCCTGACATGTGCTAGAGTGAAAACACTGCTCTCTGCTGCTCTCGGTGTGAATGCTAATTTAAAATGACAGCAGAGAGTGCTTCAGAGTGATTCATTACAATCACATGGCAAAATATACCCTCTTTATTGTTTGTTTGGAAGATGTAGATATTTCATTTAATATATACTTGATTATACTTCTTATATACTTGCATACATATACATATTAAATAAATTACATAAATATAAATATTGTACTGCACTGTCCCCATAGATAAAATTTAATTTTAAAACGATAAAATAAATGACTCCTTAAAACATCTGCATGTGATAATACTGTATCGTTACCTTGAAATTATAAGGATCCATCTGCGTTCTGATTGATTTTGAGATATTGAGCTTTTAAGTTTTTGCAGTCCATAGCACACATATGTGTGTAACAATTGTTTTTCAAATAAAAAGTCTTAAAATTCAAACAACTTAAAAAAAAAATCCTATAATGTAAATAAGTTGTCAAATAATAGGAATATGTCAATAACCTAATTTTGACAAAAATGGATGATAGAACCTTATAATTCTAAGGTAAGTTCTGACCGCAGTTTGATAAGACATTTGTAGGCCTATATTAAGTGACTAAAATGTATTTATTATGAAAATAATCTTAAGCGCATGTATTTTAACATTGTTTTCTTTAATGTGATATTTAAAGCTCTGCACCAATGACAATAAACTTCTATCATGCATGTTCAGATTGACTCATGAATTTAGTGAAGTAAAACTCATAAACAACACAGTAAATATTTATAAAATGATACCATCTTTAAATGTAACTTCTTTTATATTTAATTTACTCTGAGAACGAAAATAATTAAACTTTAACTAATTTTAATAAATAAAAGTTAACGATGTGGACAACGTAGTAAAACTGTATTATTATTTTTTTAATTTATAATGCACAAAAATGGTGAGAACATAGACAATTTTACATCAGCTGTTAAAAATATACATCAGTTGAAATTAAGCAAAAACCTGGAAGTCCAATGAGCTCCAGTGGATGGTGCTCTTTGTAAAGCAGAGTGTGTGGCATACAGACAGGGGTGGAGCAGACAAGGGTGGAGCATGTGTGACACACAGACACAGGTGGAGCATCTGCTTTTGGAAGAGTATAAATGTGTAGGAATGCTTCCACTGTAACAAACAGAAAGCAACAGGACACAGAGGAAAAAGGTACTAAAATAATTTGAATTCTGCATTAATATGTTGCTGCAAAAATGTTTATTGACTTTCACATCTATTCGTGTCTTTTTTTGTCAATGAAAGGCTGAAATGGATGAGCTGAGAATAGTTTTGCTGGGAAAGCAGGGCGCAGGGAAGAGCGCTTCAGGAAACACTCTTCTTCATAAAAATGCGTTCCACTCAGCGGCCAGTTCAGAGAGAGTCACCAAAGCTTGTTCAATGGGCATGTGAACTGTAGACAAGCTAAAAATCAAAGTGACGGACACTCCTTGATGGAGTGATTCTTCTGACATCAAGAAGGAAATCAGCCAATGCATTGCCTTGTCCAGTCCTGGGCCACATGCGTTTCTCCTGGTGCTGCCCATTGGCAGGTTTACTGATGAAGAGATTAACACAATCATGGATATCCTGAAGGTGTTTGGAGATGAAGTTGACAAATACATGATTGTGCTGTTCACCAGGGGTGATGATCTGGACGACAGACCCATTAAAGACTACCTGCAGGACGTCCACTCCGATTTAAAGAAAATCATTCAGATATGTGAAGGAAGATATCACGTCTTTAACAACAGAGACAAAAGTGATCACCATCAAGTCTCTTCTCTTCTGAAGAAAATCAATATGATGGTAGAGAAGAATGAGGGGAAATATTAAACAACAGCACGCCATCAAGAACTGAAGAATGGAGAGGTAATGTGGCTCAAAGAGAAGGAGCACGTGGTGAATCAATTAAATGAGCAACGAAGGAAAATGGAAAATCTTCAGGAATTATTTGAGCAGACAAAAACAAATTTGCAAGATGAAAAAAGCAAAACAAATCATTTTTGGAGGAGATTTATACAACAAGTTCAAACTCTCTTTACTTCCCAAAATTAATCCACAATCACCTCATTTCTGTAATAAACACAGTTTCATGTAATAATCATTTGTATATTCTCAATTGGTCTGTGCGTAGAAGAATCAATCGTAGTATGTAATATTTTTCAAACCGTTTTGAAGGAACTAATTGTTTTTGTTTTGTTGTTGTTTATGTTTTTGTGTGTAATTTACAGTGATTGTTTTGTATTATATTAATGGGGCTTCTTTTGCTAAATAAAGGACAAATAACAAAAACAACAAAAATCTAATTTAGTTTAAATGTAATAAAAGTGAATTCACATCTGTCGATTCACATCTGTTTAGATTGTAGTAGAAATTAAATGGATTGTTCACCCCAAAATTTATTCTGTTGGCATAACAAAAGATTCTACACATTTCTTTACAAAAAAAAATAAAAAAATACTTCGTAGAACACTGAAAACATGTAACCACTGACATCCATAGTAGCAAAAGTTAATACTTAAAAAGTCAACGAGTAAAGGTTTCCAGCTTTTATCAAAATATCTTCTTTTGTGTTTAACAGAAGAACGAAAATCAAACAGGTTCTAAACAAGTAAAGAGTGAGTAAATGATGACAGAGTTTTCATTTTTAGTGAACTTTTCTTTTAATTTGGTGGTTAAACAAATCCAAAAAGTAAATACACTTGGTAATTAATAATAAAGTAGTGTTGCCTTCTCGTGTGACTGGTCCATTTCTAGAAACCACTGAAAAGTCACTACATTAAATGGCATATTTTGTTTTAATTTGAAAAAGTGAATTGCACCCAGCATTTGCACATTTTGCATTTGCCTTTTTCTAAATGTGTGGGGAGTGGGACATCTACTCTCACATAACTGAGAAGCAAGATTAAAAAGACACCCTCTACGAAAAAGAAGTATATTTCAAGTTTTTTTTTTTTTCATTCAGTAAAGTTGAAGTATAACTAGATACCTATCGGTGCTGAGACACAAACCCGTCATAAGTCTGACTCTCACCAGGTCAGGAATGCAGAAATGCTCTCAGTGTACTCGTAGTTAACTAGATTACTTTTCTTTTTGCTTGTTTATTTTTTAAGTCAAAGTAGACATAAGACAAAACAGTAGAAATGCAAAAGGAATACTTGAAAACCAAAGTCAAACATACAAGCATGCAATTATGCTGTACTCCTCTGACTACTCCCCTTACTCATACTGAAGAAAAGGTTTGTATAAACAATACTAACAGCAGTAGAAGTAATATTACTAGTCTCAGACTAGCCTTTAACTTGTGATCTCTAAAACCAGTAATGTACTGTATGTAATAATATGTAAAACGTAATAAAATCAAGCATACTAAGAATATGTAATTATAATTTTAAGTATAGATTATGTCAATGAACAAGTATGGGTCACATATGCAAAAACAAAAACTTCTGTTGGACTGTAGGGGTGCAGTGGCACAGGCACAGCTTGATCGCCTCACACAAGTCGGTAACTGGTTTGAGCTTTGGGTCAGTTGAGCCTTGGGTCAGTTGACATTTCTGTGTGTAGTTTGCATGTTCTCCCCATGTTTGCATGGGTTTCCTTCCTCTGGTTTCCCCCACAGTCCAAAGACATTCAATTCACCTTTAATTATATAGCGCTATTACAATATAGTGAAGGATTCGGATTTCTGCTTTCCAATTCGTCTCATCATGGACCACCGTTTATCCTTTTCATCATCCTGTTTCTCAGTATTTAACTGTGAATTGATTTTAACTAATGAATAAGTTAAAACTGCTTACTGCAAGAATGTTCTGTGTCCTTGTTTCTCTTTTTGCCTGTCTATTTTAACTTTGTTTTCAGGAGACACACAAACCAGGTCATAGGTCATGGAGATCTCTCTCTCTCTCCCCATCTGTTCCTATGACTGGAGATCCAATACAGAGGAGAAGACACCTGTTCTAGTTGTCCTGATATTGCCTATAATATTATAGCTGTTTGATTGATCTGTTTTTGAGTATAATTAATTTTAATGTAATTCCTTTTTGTGTGGAGATAGACTGTGTGTAGCCAAGATATTGTTGCAGACTGTTGATGGAAACAGTCTTGAACCAGCCTGATAACACAGCTGAACGTACAAGAAACATCCTTGAGTCTTTAACACAGATGGTCGTTTGTGTCTATTGTTTTCCTGGTTTAGCTTTTTACAGGTCGGAGATCAGCTCCTAATAACTTAGGGCGACCTCACCTCTAGGCATCAGGTCGCCATCCATATCTGGAAACAGATACAATGCTTTCTTTGACGCACACATTAAGGCCATCCATATCTGGAAGTAGATACTATGTTTCTTTGACGCATGTATTTAGAATTGTCTATTTCTGTTGTAAACCAATGAGAACTGTTTACCTGGATCCCACCCTTTCTGTACTTGTGTAAAGAGTATAATTGTTTGATTGTTGAAACTGTAAGCAGAGCGGCCTAGGAACTCATTGCGAGTGTTGAAGCTGGCTTCTGCTAATGAAACTGCAAACTATCTTCAGTAAACTTGATTTATTTATTTAAATCTCTGACTCCGGCTCTTCTTCATCTACCAGACTGGTCATTCTTTGGGTTAAACTGTAAACTATCCCTACAATAGATTGTTTCAAAGCAGCTACACATAAATGGTCATAGTAAATTGGAACAGAGTAATTCAGTTTTTTAGTGTTTAAGTTCAGTTTAGCTCAGTTCAGTGTGGTTTAAAATCATTACTGAGAGTCCAAACACTGAAGAGCAAATCCATCAATGCATAGTTCTACCGATCCCAAACCATGCAAGCTAGAGGCGACAGCAGAGAGGGAAAAAAAATTCACCGATTGGCGAGTGAAGAAAAAAACCTTGAGAGAAACCAGTTGGGCACCACCATTGAAATTTCTCTGCTGGCCAAATGTCTTGTGCAGAGCTGCAGTCTCAGCAGTGGAGGCTGGAAGCTGGCCTCAGCAAAGACTCGTTTGTCCCTGGAGCGTCACTGGAATCAGTCTCATGCTCTCCACTCCCCCATGACCACCAGCGCAGCAGCAGCTTAGGATACGGCCTGGTTTAGGATATGGAAACCTTGGGATCATCTCGTCACTGGTCTTGGATCCAATCAGTGACTCCGTATAGTCTGAGGGCCTCGGCATGAGTATCCTCAGGTGAAAATGGAGAAAAAAAAACCAGAATAATTAGCGTAGCTGCTTTTCATAGTGTATATAAACAAGATACAGAAAACTTTGTGGCAACCCACTAAGTGATGCACTGAGTGTATGCTTTACTAAACAGATAGGTCTTTAATCTAGTTTTGAATTGGGAGAGTGTGTCTGAGCGTCGGATGTTATCAGGAAGGCTATTGCAAAGTTAAGGAGCCATAAAGGAGAAGGCTCGACCTCCTTTACTCGACTTTGCTATTCTAGGAACAACCAGAAACCCTGAGTTTTGAGATCTTAAAGAGCGAGTTGGATTGTAGTAAGACAGAAGGTTGGTTAGATAAACAGGAACTAGATTATTTAAAGCTTGTAAGATTTTAAATTCAAAACGAAACTTTTGAGAGCATTACAGTAATCCAGCATAGAAGTCATAAAAGCATGGACTAGCTTTTCTGCATCTGACATGGAAACCATACTTCGTAATTTAGTAATATTTCTCAGATGAAAGGATGCAGTTTTTGTGACATGCGATATATGATTTTCAAAAGTAAAATTGCTGTCTAATATGACACCCAGATCTTTTATAGTTGTAACGAGACTGACACGGAGGGATCCATTATGCAGTATTTATTAATCACACTCTCACTCAAACATTCAATACGCACAAAGGTGCGAACACACAACAACAGTAGCAATAAAGGTCTCAAGGCTGGCGGCTGACAGACACAGAGTGATTTACCAGGCATGGGTCAGAGGCAGGCGGCGTGATTCAGAGTCCGTGTATCAGGCTTGGGTCGTTGGCAGGCAGCGAGTATCAGAGTCCGTGTAACAGGCTTGGGTCGTGGGCAGGCAGAAGGCAAAGCAGAGTCAGAAACAGTCCAGAGTAATACACAGGAGATCAGGCAGAAAATAACGCTCAGTAATGCTGGCCGGGGCTGAACAAGACTTCGCACTGAGTGAAGGTTTGAGTGCGGTTTATAAAGGGTACGTGGGTCATTAACTGGATTGGGAAACAGGTGTGCACGATCAGTGTAAGTGGATGATGTAATGCTTAAAAGTCCGGAGATGGCGGCCTCTGCTGGCCAGCGAGGGGAATGACTGGGACCGAGTCGGTGACAATAGTAGCGCTAACGCTAACTTTGTATCCCTCTAATTATAGATTGAGTTGCGAGATCTGCTGTGTACAGGATTTAGGCCCAATAACTAATAATTCTGTTTTGTCTGAGTTTAAGAGAAGAAAATTGTTGGTCATCCATTCTTTACCTTCTTTAATACACTCAGTTAGCTTAGACAGTTCAGCCATCTTATCAGGTTTAGTTGAAATATATAATTGAGTATCATCTGCACAGCAGTGAAAGCTGATCCCATGTCTTCTAATAATGTCTCCCAGAGGTAGCATGTAAATTGTAAACAGCAAAGGGCGTAAAACTGATCCTTGAGGCACCCCATACTTTACTGGGCTTGTAAAGGCTGTCAATTAATATTCACAAACTGGTAACGGTCAGTTAAGTGTGACGTTAACCATTGTAGAGCCTGTACCTGGACACCTGTAGACTTTAAGCGATTTATGGGGATGTTGTGGTCAATGGTGTCAAATGCCGCACTTAGATCGAGTAGAACTAATAGCGAGATGCACCCTTTGGTCAGCAGCTAAGAGTAAATCATTGGTTATTTACACTGTGATGAGCCCTGAAACCTGACTGAAACACTTCAAAAATATTGTGTTTCTGCAGAAAGGAGCATAATTGGGTAGAAACAACTTTTTCTAGTATTTTAGACAAAAATGGAAGATTTGAAATAGGCCTATAATTAGCTAAGTTGTTGGGGTCCACTTTTGGTTTTTTAATAATAGGCTTAATAACAGCAAGCTTGTAAGAATTTGGAACATGGCCTAAAGATAAGGAAGAGTTGATAACATCAAGAAGAGGTTCTCCTATAGCAGGTAGCAATTCTTTCAGTAATTTTGTTACACATAACTACACATAACTACACATAACTACACATAACTACACATAAAACATACACATAACTGGTTTAGAGCTATTTATAATTTTATCTAGCTCTTCCTGTTCTGTGATTTTGAAGCACTGTAGGTTATTATTATTATTATTATTATTATTATTATTATTATTATTATTATGATTCAGTGAAATGTTTACTGGATCTGGAGTATAAGGCGGTGCAGAAAGTTTGGCATCTCCTATTTTCTGTCTAAAGCTTTCGATTTTATCTCTGAAAAAATTCATGAAGTCATCACTACTTATTTGCTGTGGAACATTTTGTTCCAAGGATGACCAATTATTTGTTAATTTAGCAATGGTGTAAAATAAAAATCTTGGATTGTTATGATTATTTTCTATCAGTTTTGCTGAGGTGCTCAGCCCTGGCAGATTTTAGAGCCCTTCTATAGCTGGACATACTATCTTTTTACGCAATTCTAAAGACCTCTAAATTAGTTTTTTTTTTCATTTACGTTCCAGGGTTAAACAGGTTGCTGTTTTGAGAGCACGAGTATGACTATTATATCATGGTGTAGTTTTATTCTCTCTAGCCTTTCTTAGTTTGATGGGTGCCACAGTATTTAGTGTGCTAGTAAAGATGGCATCTATACTGCTGGTTGATACATCAAGACATCCACATATTAGAGTTAGAGAAAGTGAAAGTAGATAATGAGGACGTCTTATTTTTCATTCTCACGCTGTGGATGCTCTGTTTAACTGTTTTCTTGCTAGTGAAGCGCTCAGTTTTTCTACTTACCCTTACTTTACGTCATGTAAATAGCAAATGCGCTATGGTGCGACGCAACTGACTCTTAAGGGGAATGGGAGATGAGACTCTGATTTGTTTGTTCTCAAAACACACCTATAACTCATTGAGAAAGTAAACTCAACCCTTTTAGACCATGCGCCATGGCGCAAAGCGGATTTTTCCGTCCTTAAATTAGCAAAAGTGGATTCTGACACACCCTAATTGCTTTTGCGCCCTGCACTTTGCGCATGGATCGATCACAGTAGAGCCCATTATCTCAGAGGCCAAACAAAATTAGCTTTCCAAGTTATAATAGCTAATTTGGCCAAATATCCTGTGATTTCATCACTTAGTCCAACAGTTAGGTCTAACAGTAATAATACTATACTTTAATAAACGTCTTTATCCCAAGAAAAGTACATTTTAAAGTAGTACATAAAATGCAGACAAAGTATGCTGTCTTGTTTCTGGTTGAAAAGAAGTTTACTAACTTAATAAAGTTTTTTTATTTATAAGGAATATGATAAAGGCATGTTTTTATTCTATTGTGCTGCATTCACAAATTCCATATAGACTTTTTTTTGTGACATACATTTTGTAGTAAACATTGCAACTTAAAGAAGATGTGAATGTGTGCAAAGAAAAAACATTGAGGCCATGTGATAAAAACAGGGTTGACTTGTTTTAAATTGTGCAAGACATACCATATGGTGAAAGTAACACTTTTCTATTTTAAACAAAGTAATAGGCCTACTTTTATTTACCAAAAGGATTACCAGCTTCATTCATTTTCTTTTCTTCTTAGTCCCTTTATTGATCAGGGGTCGCTACAGCGGAATGAACCACCGACCTATCCAGCATATGTTTTACACAACGGATGCCCTTCCAGCTGCAACCCGTCTCTGGGAAACATCTATACACACTCATTCACCACGGACAATTTAGCTTACCCAATTTACCTGTACCACATCTTTAAACTTTGGGAGAAACCAGAGCACACGGAGGAAACCCACATGAACACAGGGAAAACATGCAAACTCCACACAGAAATGCAACTGACCCAGCCGAGGCTCGAACCAGCAACCTTCTTGATGTGAAGCGACAGCACTGCCCACTGTGCCACCACACCACCTTATTGCCAGCTTGTGTGTCACATGAACTATTGCTAAAAGAGCTGTTTTTAAAACTTTGAAGCAGAGGGGTCACCATTCACTGGTTCCAGTGTGCTTGTATAGAAAGAAACAATAATAATTCTACAAATACTAATTATTGTTTATAATAATAATAATAGTAATAATAATAAAAAGAAGAATAGGAAGAAGAAAAAGAGGAAGTATAAATAATAATAATAATAATAATGATACTAATAATAAAAAGAAGAAAAAGAAGGAAGGAAAAAAAATAATAATAATAATAGTAATGATGATGATAATAATAATAATAGTAATGATAATAATAATAACGATTATTATTATTTATTTTTATATATTTATTTATTTATTTTATTTGTTCTGGACAATTCTGGACGATATACCTTTTTACTTTCCATGACTTTTAAAATAACTTGATTTATTGTTTTGTGTTTATTTTGTTTTCAATGTTTTCTTGAACTTTGGCCAAGTTTACAGACGGTGTTTTATTCATATGTCAGTTGCTGTTGTGTTGTTTTAAATTGCTTTCTGAGTCGGCGCAATAGCCTAGTGGTTAGCGCGCCGACATATCGTGCAATAGCACGTCAGGGCGTCGCGAGTTCGAATCCCGGCTTGACGACATTTCCCTATCCTACCACCCTGTCTCTCTCTCCCACTTCGCTTCCTGTCTAAAATCTGTCCTATCTAATAATAAAGGCCAAAAATAAATCTATAAAAAAAATAAATAAATTACTTTCTGTTTTTATCTTAATGGCCTCTCAGTGTGAACTTTATTCAGGATTTTTTATCTGTATGCAGCTATAATCTTTATACAATTATCAAAAATTCAAACAGCATGATTTGCCTTTGCTGTTTGTTTCCGGGTAAGGTAACAGCTTCAAGATAAGAATTTTATGTGATGAAATTACAGATCTTTATAGTCAGGAATTTGAATTTCATACATCTGCAATAAAAGATAAGGAAAGAATATCTTAGATTAATGTACCTGTTTTTTAATTAACAAACATTCTTCTATTGCATTTCTCAGAGACAGTTATTTAAAAAAATTCTTGGATAAAAAACTGCTAAAAAAGCAACCCTTCTTAGTAATCATAATCAAAATGCAAATCAGAAAAAGGTAGATTTTAAACAATAAACATATTTCAGGTTACAAGGTTCAAATTTATGAAATATAAAGTAATCAGCACTAAATGGACCCTCCCAAACATAGAATTAATAATGGTATAAAGGGAGACTTTTTTTACACTGAGAAAACTGTCGAATATAAATGCTTCGAAAGACAACAGTAATATTTTCTTTTGTATTTCAGTTTTGATTTCAGGTTATAATATGAAAAACTGATAAGCTGTTCCCGTAAAAGGAGGTGGACTGAAGTATGCCTTTAAAAACTCTCTATTTCCTCTCCTATACTCTCTGATCTGGCAAACTGAGGCACAATGAATGGAAAAAATCCAGGTTTTTTTTTTTTTTTTGTATTTTTACTTGAACCCACAGGATTGACTTTTGAATCTTAACCATTATGTGTATTATAAGTTTTTGGTTAAGAAAGGAAGAAACAGTAAGCATTAAGTGCCCAGGCTGATAAATGTCAATGAAAAAATCTCAAGAACCAAAAACTGAACGAGTCTGAATATGGAGTGAGAACGGCTAAAGTTACAACAGGAGAAGTTGGAAAAGGAGAAGACATTGAAAGAAATAATGAATCAAGAATTCTCCTGCTGGAAAAACAGAAAGGGAAGGTTGAAGCTGAAAGAGAAGAAATTATAAAGAAAAATCTCAAAGCATGAATGCAGAATTTCATAAACTACTTGCAAGGCTTTTAAAGTTTCACAGACTTATATGGGTATAATTTGTACAAATGTCACTAAATACGCTGAAATAAAACAGTATTTTAATCAGATTTGTTTGTGTGGCATTAGGCAACATAGAGTCCTGCACATTAATAATTCAGATATATTTTAAGTATTAAAAGCAACATGGACATTTAAAACTATATACTTGTTGAAATGTAATCAAAAACAACTTTAGCTCCTGGTTTTTGCGCAAGTACAGAGAGCCAAGAAAAAAAAATACATAACAGATTAGCTTTAATGCAAAAATGTTTTTCAAACGCATGTCTTTATAGGCTAAGCATTACATTATTTATTTCAAAGTAAGAATTGTGTTCATCTGAGACCACACAACTTCACATCACAAAATAAATAAAAAATTAAAATGTCCAATGTTGTTCATACAGGCACAAAAAAAAAGTTTGAACGTAAATCTCATAAGGCTCTGAAAAAAACACAAGCACAGAGGCTAGTACACTAAAATTCTATGCTTACTAGTTTGCACTAAACAAAAGAACAGCAAATCTAATCAAGCTCCGAAATGCATTGAAAGGACAGTTATAGTGGGTGGGCAGTTCATCATTTGCCCGTGTTACATCTACAGCAACATCACCTTCGATTTAACAAGCAGCGTTTCAAACATTAAAGATTATAATTTTTTGATCATCAGTTGTACACTCGAAATGAAAAAAAAAAACAACTTTGCATTTTTCAAATCACTGAAATCAACGAATGAGGTTTAATGTTTTTATTTCAAAAAAAGAAAAGAAAATAATACACTTCCTAGACAAATGTCTGCCTGATAACAATCCACACCAGTGCTAGACATCAGACACAAACTTGCATCCCTCCACAAAAACACTGTAGTACACAGCAACACAGAGAAGATCAACAAACGTGAAGTTACCCAAACACAGGAAATGCATCATCTTTCAATAAAAGCATTTCTATGGAAAATTTAGGCTGAAGGTTTCCTTCAGTGGAATTATAATATTGTAGTTCTGGGTCTGAGAAACTTAGTTAAGTGCTTACAGTGCAAAAGAGCAGCAGATAAGCTTAAACTAAACAGTCATCAGATGAACATTTGTCCTACATGAGATTTAAAAAGACCAAAAGATCTACAAGAGTGCTTATTAACACCATCTATGAGTTGTACAGGAGATTATTGCACCATCTCAAATGACACAATATTATCCTCTGACTGGGTCATTGCCACAAGCACTTAAAAAAAAAGCATGGACATAGGAGCACAATGGAAATTAAAATGGTTACTCCTCAGACTAATGGCATGTTATGGAGGCGCCCTCTAGTGATGGTCCAAGACAACTGCCTTCCAGTACAGACAGAAAAAAAATAAAACAATAATTCGGCAAGTAACAGGGCAGAGTTTCAGTCCACAGTCAAACATGACAACAGGTTTTACCTACATGAAAAATGCTGGCATTACCAGATGGATTATCAAAAGATATGGCTGATTAGCATTTTTTTGTCACCAACAAAGACATGCTGGCATGGCAGGGGAAAAAAAAAAAACATACATGAATGACATGTCTCAGATGCAGACAGAGGGCAAAGAGCAGGCGCAAGTGTGTGCATGTGTGTATGAACTCAAGGAATCCTTTCCCAGATGGTGCATCTAAACTTTGAAAAAGGCAGGGCCAAAAAGGTTTAACACACAAGATGGAAAAAACACGGTAAAATCTGCCATGTTTAGTCCTCTCGTGCGCATTTTACACAAAATCAAGAGTTCACTTACAAAACAATTCTAAATCCTCCATGTCAGACAACATTCTGCAAAACAAGATCTCTAAAACTGCGCAGTCATGGAACAAAGGGTCATGGTTTAACACACAGGCATACACTGCTCTCTTGATTTGCTCCACACATGTGCACTGATGCTAATGGAAACTAGCGCATTCTGTACTCTGATGTCTTGGACACCTCACAAAGTTGACCCTTGAAGTCAATGTCGACAGTAAAGTCCAGGTCTCTCTGTAGGGGGAGGAAAAAAAGTACATGTTTAAATTGTAATAATTATAAGAGTGTGAACAGTTTTGAAAATCAATAGAGTTGCAGCAACATTGACAACTTCTAGTACAAGCTTCATTTAAAATGAAGACAAAATTTACAGATGTACCGATAGCAATTTTCGTGGCTGATTTAGACTTTTTTTGGGTAAGTGTGACTAGCCAATAATACTGTTTTTTTGCTGAATTTTCCAACATTACTATAGAATATCAAATTAATTTGAATATATAAATCAGAATATACAAACTGTATAGAATCCATGTATTTTTCATTTGCGTTATTAAATTACATTACTGTTTAACCCAAACCAACATGTGCAATTTTCCACTGTAACTAACTTTTGCCTAGTTTCTTATTTTACAGAAGTCCAAGGATTATATGCTTTAATGCATGCTTTTTTTTTAGTACTATTATATTATTATTTTTAGACATGACATATTTTAAGACATTTTAAAAGCAAATGCTGATAATTTGGAAAATAAATAATAATTTAAAAAAATCCTCTCTCTGAAAGCATTAATGACTTGTATAGCAGAAAATTTTACTTCAGCAACAAAACATTTTTGGGGGAGGAACTATTAAAAATGTTAGGGCTGCACTGAATCTGGAGTGCAGGCAGGCAGAGTGTACATGATCCTGCAAAAAAAATTGGCTAGTCAAGAGATGCATGTCTAAATATATTAACTTTTCTGCAAATAACATTTGGCCGATATTAAAGTTATTATTATATTAGGGGTGTCAAAAAACTATTGGATACTGATGTCATTTATCTCCTATGCACGATGTCGCAGTAGAATACTATGGCGAAGTAGGAGAGGGCAAGTAAATAAAACGCTCCTACTACTGAAAAGGTAGATAATTTTGCAGTTCAACTGCTTGTGAGTTTACTGGAAAGGCTTTCATTGAGACTGACTGAAGAAGACACAGCACATGAGCCGCTATTATACTACTAAGGAGAAATGCTGTAAAAAGCCATCTCTGCCTCTCTCTCTCCCTCCCTCCCTCCCTCCCTCCCTCACTTTTGTATATTTGACCCGCTGGCCTGTTCATGAGTTAACTTTTCCCCTTCTCTTGGCTGGTAAAGCGATACTTGTGGATCCAGACACGAACCTCCCTGTGGTGCGAGTTTTCTCCACTGTGGATTACCTTTGATAACTGCATATTATGCACATATAGACTGTAACCATGGCTGTTCTTCCCGTGTCACTCATCAGTGAACAGCACTTTTATGTCTAAAGCCAATCACAGCTGTTTCTGTCAAACGGGTGAAGACAATAACCAGTCATAGAGGCAAGACCTCACTCAACAACGCTCAAAGCAAGTGGGATAATATTTCCATAAGTTTATTGCCTAAAAATGCTCATGTTGTCTTCTGTGTATGTATTGGGAGTTTTGTTTGATACCTTGAAAAAGAGTGTTTTCTTTGAGCAGGTCAAATTAAAGGTACAGTTCATATATCTTACTTCTTGTATTAAAGGACAAAATTGTGTTACAAATAATATATAAATATTAATATATTTTCAGATTTTAATAAAAAAAAAAATAGTGTTGGGAGAAAAAAAAAAAAACTCATTTTGCACTGAGATATCGAATTAAACTGAATCGATGGCATGATAATCGTTACCGAACCGTGAGACCAGTGTAGGTTAACACCCCTAATTAATATTAAAGAAAGTGAAAACGTTTAGAAGTGATTAAGTTGTAATTTTACAATATAATTTCCAAATGAAGAGCTTTTAGACTTCATAAATTAGAAACTGGAAAAATGTTCAATTTAATACAGAAATCAACCCATTAAAATGGTAACAAGATATATATGACCATCCCTACACTTTCACTAAAGGTGCTAAAAGTAAGACGTGCACACAAGGCTCACATTATTCTTGACGTTGGGCTTCATGCTGATAGTGCCAAAGATCTCCTCTCCAGTCTTTACTGTCAGATAGTCATCAAGGTAGAACACAGTCTGCTTCCAGTGAGTGTAAGGAGACTCTGGGCCTGCAAGCAAAACTCACTTTAAACAGGGTTCAACCATCCTTCAATACAATAAACTCGTGGTGAATACAAAGTGATTTTGTGGTGAACACCACACACAGCACTTACTGGTAGAGAAGCCTGTCCTCTTGTGGCAGCGAGTGAACTCTATGTTGAAGTAGGTTACCAGAGCATGAATGTAGTCGTTTCTTTTCACCTGCAGGCAGAAAGGTGACGTGAAGGACAGGTCCTCAATCTTCACGGTGTAGATGTCCACCTCCTAAGGAATCAAGAAAACGTATTGAATATTAAATGAGGAAAGCAGGGATTATGTGAACATTGGAAAATAAAAGGTTGCAAACAAACCTTAATTAAGCAAGCAGTGCTAACAAGCTGTTTGGGATCAACAACATCCACCAGCGGCTCTGTAATGGCCACTTCCTTAATACAGGACATGTCAAATCCATACACGTTCTCCCACCCTAAAAAAGTGCAAATATGAAACAATTAAATGAGTTACTGCTTTAAAGAAAGCTGAACAGACTCAAGAGTGCATTAAGAGATTGATGCGTACAGTGGATTTTGTAATCCTTGTACTGCCGATCCTCGATAGCAGTGACATAGAGGGTGGCTCTGTCAGGAAAAATCAGGCCATCAGGTTTCTGAAAGCCAACAATGGAAAACGTGAACAGTGATTAAATCAAGAAAGCACATACGATTTTATACTGAACAGTTTCAACATGGTAAAAGACATTAGCATACACCCACCAGCCATTTGTCCCTGGCATAAATGACGGTGTTAAGCATGGATTCATAGAAGAGACAGTAGCCCATCCACTCAGAGATGATTATGTCTACATTTTCCACAGGAAGCTCGACCTCCTCCACTTTGCCCTTAATTATAGTGACGACTGGACAGGAAAAAGTACATGGTTAAAAATTTTAGGTACATAAAGAATAAAATGGGTATAGGCCAAAACTGTTAATCCAAAACTGAAAATGGTCATTGTTTAACCTCCCCTCACTCATTCTAAACCTGTGATTTTCTTCTGTTGAACACAAAAGATGATATTTTGAAGAAAGATGCAAACCTGTCACTACGGTTACCAGTTTACAGCTTTCTTCAAAATATCTTCTTTGGTGTTCAACAGGAAAAAAAGAAACTGATAGGTTTAGAACCACTTGAGAGGGAGTAAAACTTCATTTTTGGGTGAACTATCCCTTGAAACATGCTGAGAAAATAAGTTAACAATGAAGATGCCAAAAGCTCTGAGAAGGCCTTACTATGATCCAGCTTGTTGGCCTTCACAATCTTCACAGCATAGTCTGATATACTGCTGCACTCAATCTAAGGAATAAATGACCAACAAATTAATAAATTAATCTGACAATACACAGCATGATCAAATAATACCACATACAAATAAATGGCTTAAATGTAACAAAAATGCTTTAAATAAATCATGGGACTACTTCTCACCCCAATAACTTTCTTGGCTCCAGCTTTGGCTGCAAACATACAGAGGATGCCAGTACCACTTCCCACATCCAGCACAACTTTATCTTTGAAGAGATGCTTGTTGTGAAACATGGAGTTTCTGTACGTCAAAGTACGAACTTCATCTTTTAGCATCTCCTGTGAAGATTCAATGGGTTTACATTAATTATAAATAAATTAAATTGACTTCACCACTAATGCTGAGATTAATGAACTAACAAGAAAGTACCTCATGAATGCCAAAGTGTGCATAGGAATCAAAGTAATAGTCTTTGGACGTCATGTCTTCAGCTGCAGGTTTCGCTGAGCTCTCTCCCTGGGACACCTCAATTTCAATAGATAAGAAAAATGTAAATAAGCAAGTAAAGTCATGAGCTGGGCTTTTCTCAAACATTTGCAGTATCTTCAGTATATTAAAACAAACAAGCAAGCAATAAGGTACTAGTCAAGAGATGACCCAAAACATGTTTAAACCAAACATGCCAAGTGTAAATAACCCTGAGTAAACAGTGTTTTTACACAGAACTACATAAAGTCGGTGGCTTCCTCTGAATTTAGTTCCAACTTTTGGCAAATATCACAGCAGGCAATGAACCATTTTACACATTTTTTTTTAAAATGGATAGTTAAGCAAAAAAAGTCATATTTTATCTTCACACGCCTAACGTTAACCTTTGAAGAGTCCTCTTAAGCTTAAATTTTTCTACTTTTTAATTATACACATTTGAGGAAAAGTGGTCTAAAAGAAAACTTAGTCACGACGCAAGTACTAGATCATAGTAAACAATACAGGATGTTTTATTAAAAAACCCAATCACTGTGATTAGCAGAGAGGAAAAAAAAGCGTAACGTTAGCTCCTATCCATCAGTCCCATGCGGTCTCTGCCCAACAATAAGTCATTGAAGTCCTCCGCCAGCGTGCTCACGTGGAAACTGAACAGCGAGCTAACGGTAGCTAACATGACAGAAATATTCATACATTTAATCTCAAAATTCATCTGTGGTTACACTCAACAACTAAAAACTCGAAGCTAGCTCAAATTTAGCACATTAGCACTAGCATACACGTGATGCGAAATGAATGAATTATCTGCGGCAGGCTAAAATGGATGCTCAAGATGCGTGTGCGCACATTTCTAGCCACCTGATAACTACATACGCAGCAATCAAATCTGTTCACAGACCAAAGATTCGGAACCGGCGTGTGACGTAAATAAAATCGCCGTGTCGATTCTGATACGGTTACGAGATATTTAGCATCAGAAGCGTTTTTGGCGAACCGGCCTTGAGTAGCTTCAGCTTACCTCCATTCTGTCTGCCGTCTCCGCCATTTCGATAAACTGGACACAGCCGCGACTGCAGCAAAGCTCATGTAAAACACACTTGTTTTGCTCCCGCCTCTTTGCTGTGACTGTATGATTTGATTGGGTGACAATCACGTGGTTTTACAATAACCACACCCACTTTCCTGCGGCTCTTCGTCATAGGCTTTTCTACTATGCGTTTTTCCGCTCTTTTGATGCGTGACTGTCATTGGTCCAAACTGTAACATGATTATTATTTATTTATTTTATCTCAAATATTATTTTACAGAATTTTACTGTGAATCCAACATTTATTATTTTGGGTTGTAGATACAAATTTAATGTCTGCTTCACAATAAACCCTATTCTATTTTTATGTAAATTTTATATTCATTTATTCGTTTTCCTTCTGCTTAGTCCCTTTATTAATCCGGGGTCGCCACAACGGAATGAACCGCCAACTTATCCAGCAAGTTTTTACGCAGCAAATGCCCTTCCAGCTGCAACCCATCTCTGGGAAACATCCACACATGCATTCACACACGCACTCACACACTATGGACAATTTAGCCTACCCAATTCACCTGCACCGCATGTCTTTAGACTCTGGGGGAAACCGGAGCACCCGGAGGAAACCCACGCAAACGCAGGGAGAACATGCAAACTCCACACAGAAACGCCAACTGAGCCAAGGCTCGAACCAGCGACCCAGCAACCTTCTTGCTGTGAGGCGACAGCACTACCTACTGCGCCACTGCTTCGCCCTGCCTATATTTTATATTTATAAATAAAATTTTCAAATATAAAATCCACTTGTGTATTTTATACAAGAGATCAAAATTTACTTACAATTCCAGATTCACTTAACAAGAATGCACTCAAAACGTAAACAATTTGCACAACATGTGTAATCTATTAAATATCCCAATCTTTGTTATCTTTTTTATTTTGCCCTTTTTATTTTCAATTTCATTATCTGTTGCATCTATTCTCAGATTAGATAACCTATTGATATCATATTTCTTTGTTTTGATTTCTGTTGTTTTTTGTTCTTGTGTTGTTTCTTTATTGGTACCATTGTAAATAATATAATTATTATTGTAAATGTTATGTACCAAATGTATCTATATGTTGTACAATAAATATGAAAAAATATTTTATTTTGCACAAGTTTCTGTATTCCATTTTATTTCTGTTTATGGAACACAGTGGCTTAGTGGTTAGCACTGTCGTCTCACAGTAAGAAGGTCGCTGGTTTGAGCCCCAGCTGGGTCAGTTGGCATTTCTGTGTGAAGCTTGCATGTTCTCCCTGTGTTGGCGTTGGTTTCCTCCTGGTGTTCCGGTTTCCCCCATAGACCAAAGCCATGTGTTATAGGTGGATTGAATAAATTAAATTGGTGTAGTGTATGAGTGTGAATGAGTGTGTATGGATGTTTCCTGGTACTAGGTTGCAGCTGGAAGGGCATCCGCTGTATAAAACATATGTTGGATAAGTTGGCGGTTCATTCTGCTGTGGCGTCCCCTGATGAATAAAGGGACTAAGATGAAGGAGAATGAATGAATTATGGTTTCATTGTTTTCATGTAAATTTTATTAGTTGGACTTTTGTCAAGCTAATAGAAAAGCTTACAAAATCTTTTTAGGAAACCATCCTTTAGTCATGTGTTTTGTTCACAAAATAAACTATATGGTTATAATTATACAAAGTAAGCAAAGTTTGCAAAGTAAGCACATTTCTAAAAAAAAGAAGGCATTGATAAAATAGGAGACAATAATGATTATTTACAAAACAACATCTGGAGAAAATGGATGTTTGTACATTATCATACTATGGGATTTAGCTCAGATTAAGACCAATGTCCTCCTTGTTACATCTTCTATGAGAAAAAAAAGTTAGTTTGGTAATTTTTTCATTTTTCATACTTAACAGGAAATAATATTGTTTGGACAACATTCTTGAGAATATGATCTTGTATTTATGTATCATGGCAAACAATTTTTAAAGAACACCAGTGTGAGCAAATGGTGACACTTTTTCTTTGATGAATAGTTCCTATAAATCAAAGTTTACATTATATAACATTGTTCAGTTCCTGGTGAATTGTAACAGAGACCATACAAAAAGAAAATATATTTATTTACCATGTACAAGATGGTTATGCATCATCAAATATAGCTTACTTTGTTGAAAAAAACAAACATATTTGCAACGAATGCTGTAAACAAATCAAATGTGTAATTTTATTAATAATATATTCAACATATTTTATCTTTTTAATTTATTTATTTATACTGCAGTGGGTACCTAACTGAATTGGCCACCATTGTCCACAATAAACATATTTGATATTGCCTTAAATGCTAAATTTAATTAAAGAGATTTAGAAAATGCCTCAAAAACTGTAAGATTTAATTAGTTTAGATCATTGGACAAGTGAGTGCTGCATACTGTTGACAATACTGAGCTAAAGCTTTACTTCACATAATTAAATTAGAAATCATATTGCAATCTCTGTCAGACAAATCGCAATTAGATATTTTCCCAAACAGTTCTGTTAAGCAGAAAAAGTAATTTCTCTCCTTTCACACATTAAATTGCACACTATTGCAAATAAATATAGGAACAGCAATCGTCAGATGGAATTAGTGCCATTTACAACCTCTATTTTGCCAACTTATCACCATTCCCACATACTTGCACTTTGATACTTTCAACAGTGCCGATCTTGTTTTCAAGCCAATTAGAATAGTTATCAATTTTAATTGATGTATAAGCGGACAAATCAAGTAGCGAATGACAGAGACAAAAGTGTAACTAGCCAATTAAATGAAGAGAAACAAGCAGGAGGCGGGACTTGTGTGGAGGAAGCGCAAGAGCGAGCTCGGTGGCCGTTCTGTCACGAGCTCCGTCCGGGAACACCGACCGAACGAAAAGTCTCGTACATAATTGACGACTAATTATAGCCAATATTCACCTTTCTGTCGAGAAACAGGCTTGTCAGATTAGTTCGTCAAGAAGCAGGATTCCCCGTTGTCCTATCGCGGTCCTTTGGGTGATGTATTCTAACATTTGATAGAGCTAGCCCAGCTCGCTAGCTGTTTGGCTAGCTTGCCGTGCGTGACTCAAAGTCAGAGAGGTATCAATTGATATTTTAGCACCATCGACATTTAGGTGCGTACCCGTCAGTTAAATCAACACGTTGGCTTGTTTTTTAAATTAGCTCGTGTCGCAACGTAAGTTTATGCCTCGCATCGCTTTCCCATTGAAGAGAGTTCACGGGATTGAATGAATTAACGTTAGCCAACGGAAACCCCAGTCGCGCCGACTCCCCAGCTTCTCTCTCTCTCACAGCACTCACTTCTTTTACCCCTGAATAATCTCGCGGTGTTATTTTTGTGTTTAACGAGCGTTTCAAATTCAATTCAAGGCTAAATTGCTGCTAGTGTTTGAGTTCGTGATAGTTAGCTCACTAGCTCGGCGAACTCACCCAGCGCCAGTCAAACCTGCACCTCTGAACATCTGAAAGTCATTTATTTCGTCTTGAAGCCGGCTTGGAGAGAAGAACCCTGCAAACATGCCGGCTGTGTCGAAAGGAGACGGAATGCGAGGATTAGCGGTGTTCATTTCGGACATCAGGAACTGTAAGTGCCCCTGTCACACTCAAACACCATTAGTCATTTTCTAACGCAAACATCTGTGTTCAGCTCTTCCTACATACGCCCTACGCTGAATCAAACTGCTCTGTTCTGCATTGCTTCGCTGTGCTTTCTAGCCGGGGTGAATCATGCCAGTCAGATCAGTGGCGCTTGATGAGGGAGATCAGGAGAGTAATCGCTGATCTCTGAGGCCCGTTAGCTTTAGCTCCGGTGATGATGGAGTGATGCTACATCGGCAGACAGTCCGCTAGGCCGCCACCGAAAACCGCGTCTTTCCTCTGCAGATCGGCTATCCAGCATGTCTTGTCTCTCGTCACCTTGACTTGCTGGATAGCAGTTGATATCGCTGTTCGCCAACAGGACACGTTTCAGTTGTGTTTTTCACGATAATCCAGTTATCAAGCTGTCGCCTTGAGCTAAGCGTTATAGGAGGGTCATCTTGTTAAGATGTATCTCTGGTGTTCTGCATCTGCCTGTTTTGTACCTTCAATTTTACCTCTTAAAGATTGCTGTTGAGTTTGATAACAGTTACTTGATGCATTTTTAAGGGTTTTAAAGAATGGCACAAAATAAGATCTATGCTGGTGTATTTTTTGCTTTTCGTTTTCTGTTGATCATTGTAAAATAGGTTTATTGTCATTTGAATAACAAGATATAAATGATAGTCATTTGTTTTGCCCAAATGTTTAGTATTGGAACCAGAGGGCTTGGTCTGAGTAGTGTAGTTTGTATCTTGCATCATATTTTGGCACCACACATGCACACAATTCCAGGAATCTTGTGAGATTGTTGTTTTTTTGGCATGCATTGTTTTATATGCACATTTTATAGGGATCTTATGCACACATCTTTGCATACAAAAAATAACAGAATCAAGGCTTGATGTATAATGCATATGTTTGTGAAAATGACTGTCCGATTTGCACACAAACATGTTACAATCTGATTGATTGTCAGTATGACATTTGAAGATATATCAAAACATGGCACAGTACTATTATGGTTTAATTATTATTTATTATTATTTATATGTCATCAATATACAGTGTCACAAAGATTTATTGCTTTTATACGTAATATTTATACATATTTTTATTCATTTAATCAATTCATCACAGCTCATCAGCCTGTGTTGTATCCCATTAATAGGACCATATGCAGGGCTCGAAATTAACTTTTTTATTTGGTAGCACCGGTGCTCCCAACTTCAAAAATTTAGGAGCACCAGAAAAATTTAGGAGCACCCACCAAAAATGATTGAGCACCGCTGCAAATTGTATTTTAAGGGACATATTGTATTTTAAAACAACATCAATTAGGACTAACAAAAACCAGAAACAACTATAATTAATGCTGAGATGACATTGATATTTGTGTGCAATAATTCCAAAATGTGTATGTCTAATAATTCTAGAATATTAATGATGATGAAAATGACAATAATAGTAACAATGAATTACA